CCTTATGTTAAATTAAATCTGTGGTTACCTGGAGGTGATTAACCCTCAATGTAGATCATCATTTGATACAGACATATTACTATTGGTTTGCGGTATTATAGCATAACTACATTGCATAGATTTGTAGTGAAATGTACTTTTGAATATGTTTTTTTTTATTATTTGAACCCTCTTTTCAATCATTGCTGTGGATGCATTGCAGAGACTGACAACTTACAACAGAAGGTGCTTATAGAACCAAATACCTTAAGTGAGTGGATCCTCACAATCCATGAGCGATGTTGAAAAGTATTCAAGACCACTCTGATGGACACGTGAATGCAGATTAAATGAAGATGTCTTAAAGAGTTTTACGGACTTAGATGTGCCCCCATTGTACGCTTGCTGTCAAACAGCTTTTGACACCTTGGACTGGACCATGAGTCATTATGGTATTTAAATTAGAGAACATCTTCTGTGCTAGTGTCTGACAGCCAGGCCCTCATTTTCTACAGTTTCTGCTCCATCGAGACATGAAATTCAGCTACAAAAAAAAGATTAAAATACAATGACCTCTGGGAACATTTTTGTATGGATTAAATTAGCATTTTAGTAGATAATGTGCATGAGAATGGCGTGCCAGACGGCTAATTTCCCCCTCATTTCATAGATAATCTCCTTTGCCTCATACATTTTTGTTACTATTTAGCCTCTGACCCATGAGCTGGACTCCTGATTTGTTCTATGGTCCAGACCTTGTGTGAATGCAACACTCTTTTGCATTGATGACTATTTTGACTGTGTCTTTGCACTGTTTAAATATTGTAGCTGTTGCAAATGGGGACTTTATGTAGGGGTTTAAGAAAAGACTGTCACTTTTTGTATATTTTCTTCCAGATATGATGCAAGTGCATCCCCCACAAAATCATCACCAAGTGAAAGCAGGAGGTAATAACATGGTCTTTATTTGAGATAAGTTGAAGGTAGCATACTGACTTTGCCTCAAACAGACCGTATTTCATTGCATAGCTTCCAATACGGGCCAGAGTGGTACCTAAGTTGTCGAAAGGTTAAGGATACTTGCTCTTTTTTTTACTTGACTCTTTATTTTAGGATAGAATGTATTTTTTAATCGATTTGAATATGAATACATTTGGTTTCTCTGATAAAGGTTTTTTCCTTTCCTTAGTCCCTCTTTCAGAAAATTGCCATGTTTTGTATTAGATGGTCTCTGTGAAGCAAAACTTGTCCTGCTGTTTGTATTTTTCAAGAGGCCATAAAGTGGTTTGATGTTAATGATGGATGCAAATGATTTTAAAAATAAGTATTTATTGTGTTACTTAACTTGTCAGTGATTTAAATGTTGTGGCTGGTCGGTGGTTATTAAGAATAACTCTGTTATTTCACATGATGCATGTGTTTTGCATCCATTCAGCATGCACAACAGGAGGAATGCAGCAATCATGAATAAAGCTCAGCATTTCTTGGTAATCTGCTGCTTTGACTCCGATCATGACCACTTAATTCTAACCAAAATGTAATCCCACGTAAGTGACATCTGCAGTCTGTGAAGCAGGTGGTTTGGACAAATCTGTATAATCTGGAATAAATGCGTGGAGTTCAAGCTTGATTTGAATAAACATCTCCTCTGCAGACCAGATGACTTTGCAACACAGTGCCTGGGTTACCACGAAGAGGAGGAAAGGTGCGTTTGTGGTTTCTTTTTGTGAAGCTTGACATTTTGGTTCTTATCATAGAAAGACAAATGCACAGTGATGTGGTGACCCAGCACGAATGAGAGGGTGTCTGTAGTGGTCACTGTGAACCTGGCTTATGTTTTTAACTATGTCCACACAGATGGAATTTAAACTAAGTATTTTCTCACTCAGAAATGAAATAATTCTCATAAGCATGAATGTATTAATCTTTTCAGAATGTCACCAATAGAGATCATTGTTGGCATTGATGAAGATGACTTTAGCCCGACTCCAGACTCAGAGTAAGTGGTGTGCAGCACACTGTATGCAAACCGTAGTGTGTTGGTTGTTGCTGTCTAACGCGCCTGGCCGTCTGCACAGCATTGATCAGGTAGATGATGGGATGTGTTCTCCAGCAGAGGGCATGTGCGAAGTTTCCGGGGACGATCTTTCCGGTGATGGCGATGACAAAGACTACACGCCTTCTTCCCGTGTGCGGTAAGTACTGACCAATGGTTTTGTCCTGTGAGGAAGAGTTTTCCGCCTCATGGAGTTTTCTTTTCCTACAGAACTGGCGGCGCCATCCAAACAAGGAAAAGCCTGAACGCTGACCAGTCCCTGAGCAGACGGGACACTGCACATGCTGCTGCAGATGGTGAGGTCGCACAGCAACTGCCAGTGAGAAACAAAAGCCCAGTTCATAGTAACACGGCCATATTAGCTTATTCTGCTTTTATAAGTCATCCGTATTTTTCTATCATGTTGGCATAACACATAAACTGAAACACACTCCCTTTCATGCCGCTCATAAAGCAAGGTATTTGAGAACGATTGGAGTCAAATTGTGTCATGTTAACACCTTATTGATCACATTTATTCAGTGCTTACAAATTAGACTGAAGCACTTGGTGTGAATCAAATAACAGCTGTTTTTATTCCCATTTATTCTTCTCTCTTTTTTCCCCCTTTTCAGGCCAAACTCTAATAAGATCCGAAGATGCCACTGAGCACTTGCATCATTACGCTTAGGAAAAGCTTTCTGAGGAGCCAATAGAGAGCCAGGGTCCTTGGACATCAAAGAACGGTTACGCCTGTCCCACCTGTGGCAAAGTGTTTTCTCAGAACCAAGGCCTTAAACGACACCTTGTGGTCCATTCGGGAAAAAGACCATTCAAATGCTTCATATGTGGAAGAGGATTCACACAGAGTGGAAACCTCAAAACACACATGAACGTTCACGAAGACAAGAAGAAGCTCCTGGCGTCCTCGTGATGGTTCACTTGTCTCCGCTCATAGTTCTGCGGCAGCCCGGGCTTTTCAGTAGAATTCTCAGAATTGTTCAGAACGTTTTTTGCACTAGTAAAACATCAAGCACTGTGTCTACATATTGTTTTCTCATTTTACGGTTCCTTTCTGACACTGAAAAGACCACTTCTCTGTTCTATAACTGTTCTTGAAAACCACATATTTAAAATAATTTTACCATTAACGATTGTATTGCCTTTTCCTTTTTTTTAAATCTTAAAATTGTCTCATTTGTATGTGTTTATTTGAGCCACACAATCAGAAGCAGCCGTTGAAACGTACAACAAATCCCAGATTACCTTGGAGATCAACATACAAAAAAGATACTTTTTTTCCCCCCTTTAGTTTGTAAAGACCAAAACACAAATATAACATTCCTATGAGTTCAGTCTAACATGTTACCATACCATTGCTTTTGTTTGATACGATCATTTATTGTCAAATTAAATAATGAGTAAGTAAACTGGACCATTTTTTAGACACAAGGGACTCAATTACTTTCCTTTTGCTCTGTGATACTTTATATGAACAATGTCAAACATCTTACAGCAGATGTCAGAGTTCAGATTATTCAACATTATACAACTGCTTCAGGGTACCAGAAAATATACTTTCATATCATATGCATGTGCCATTTATGTTATTAGATATATATCTGTATGTACATAAAAAAAACACTTCAGACAGATGGTGCCCCTTCATTTGTTTTCCTAGGTGGGGATCATCTTTGACAAAAGCACTGCTTAGATGGACTAATTAAAAAGATCTGATCTTCCCTCTTAATATCAAGGAGGTCCCCCATTTGCCCCCAATGGAGCAAGGGCCGTTCAGGGGCGTTTTCCAGAAGACCTTTAAGGGTAAATGTGGTGTCTAGCAAGCTGGGGAGGGCGTTCTTGGTGATGTTTCCGTTCGATCCTCATCTCCCAAGATGGAGAATCCTGACTCGAGTGGCCGGAGACGAGAAGTTGTGTCGATTGGGCTTTTATTATTCACTCAAGCAGCCGACCGGAAGTCCCGACGCTGCTTGAAACGCAGCCTGGCGGCGGCGGCTCGGGCTGGGGAGGTTGTCATCCCACCCAGACGTTGGTCTCTCTCCCACAACTCATTATTAATTTGTTTTTTCTTGCTGTCATCCCGCGCGCCGTTTCCACGCCGCGAGCATGAGCCTCGCGGGGCCGTAGGGGCTCTGCCACGTCGGTTCAATAAACTTTAGCCCCGTGGCTTCCACCCGAGGGGGGAAAATCCATGCAGAGGTTGGTCAACACGTCTATTGTCTGCTCTTAAGTGTTAGCTAGCCGAGTTAGCGACCGTTGCCAGGGACCGAGGTGAATTTGTGGAGGAAAATAAGCATTTTTGGCCGAGACCCCGATAGCGAAAACCCTCCGAACTGTTGTGGAGAGTTGCAGGATACGGTCTTTCGGGACGTTCAGTAGCTAATTTTTTAAGTCGCCATGGCAAAATAAAACGCCATATCAGTGGCTAGCTGGCTCCCAGCAGCCCTCCCAGAGGTGGAGGTAGACATTGACCACATCGGTGGTCACCGCCAACTGCGACGCCACCGAAACATCTCGTCTAGAGGTTAGAAAACGAGTCCCTAGGAATCGTTTGCTCGTGGTGTCATCGTTTATTTTGGAGTGTAATGACTTCTATCGGGTGTCTCGACTGTTTGGCTTCCTCGAAAAGGGATGCAGCAGAGCGAGTCCCCGCAGGCTAACGGACATTCAGCCCTCACACAGCTGGCTCTACCGGAGGACCTCACCTCCAGATCACCCGGGAAGTGTCGGAAGTCTCTGACACAGAGTGCACAGTAATACATTTTCAGTGAGGTAATCGCATTAGCCACTCATCTGGAAGGAGAACTTTCTTTGTGGTGTTAGGATTCAGCCTTGATTCCCCCCCTCATCCCCCTCCATCATCTCAGCATCCTGCCCTCGGTTTAAGGCACCTGGATGTCCTCTAAAGGTGGAGGCACTCAGGTGTAACACGTTGTTTCAGGTGAACGGATAAATCCCCTGACGCCATACAGTGCTGCAATCTGAAATTCTTAGCAAAACCAGCAGGAGGAAATAATAACTCTGACCCTGAATGTGATATGAGAGATTAAATTGAATGTCTGTGAGGCCCTTTTTGGGTCTACATGTGGAGTATATCAGAGTAGACAGCCTCATCTCCGGCTTATTTGTATTCGGGCGTTGGAGTAGGGTCAGCAAATTGAGATGACCCATTAACAGAGATCAATAGGAGGAAGTTCCAATAAAAAATGACACATAATTTAACCTCTTTAAATACGTAAGACAGTGTCCTGGGACGCCGAGTGTATGTGGATCTGAACAGTGAAATGCATTTGACTGACACTTGTAATTTGATAATGTGCATGAATTAAACTTTGTCAATCAAAGCTCATGTTATGTCGGTGTTAGTGTTAGGCCCTCGATGCACTCTTAGTCAGAATACAGACCAACAACCGTGCTTTGCTACCTCAGACGAACCAAAAATGATCCCAAAAATGCGCCAGTGATCGGGCCAGTGATAAACTGGTTCTGGGAACCGATAGCCAGGATGTTGGAGACGAGAGAGCCGCTGCTGGCTCAGCTTGTTGCTTGGCTGGTCCTCAGCGTGTCGGGGCTTGAAGCTAACTGTAAATGCTCTCATCTATGTGTCAAATGATCTATCACGAATTGTATGGCGCATCCATATTCATCCAGTGTTGGAATGCTATCCATTTCCTCTAAATCCCATACGTGGGCTCATCTACATGCACTTTTAACCTTACTTTGTAATTCAAACACAATAAATATTAAAACTGCTTAAAATCCCCAAAACCAAAGTATATATATCTATAAATTTTGGGTTCAGTTATTTTTTTAACAGCCTTAGAAAAGACACATCATCTGTTCCTACACTCTGTAACCATGGAAGAAACCAGTCAATGAATCTGTTAACTCTGAGCTTTTTTCCTTCTTTTACCATAAAGATATAAATACAAAATCACTTGAAGCTAAGAGGCATTGGCTTGCCTATAGACATGCAAGCATCAGCTGACTTCTCATCTGGTGGGTTGCTGGCATTGCGGATTCTGATGAGTTACACACTGAGTTACACACTTCTTCTCTCATACTGAGTTATCAGTCAGCTCTCCAGGCATTACTGGCCTTTGCATTGCCATACAAAGATTCATTTTAAAATTGTCAATGTGAAAGTGTACATTTTTATGTTGTATTAAAATAGTTTCCCCATCTATGACAGTTTACATACAAGAAGAAAGTAATTTAGCAAATATATCATGTCCTAACTGGGTTGTCCAGTCTCTTCACTTCTTTTGTATCTTTAATATGACAATCCACCTTTTGCTAGGTCCTACATGTAAGAAATGGGCTCTGAAAACCCAGATGACTTTGGACCATCTGTTATCCTCGCAGACGACGATCAGCAAGAAATTGGAGGCTTGATCAACTCTGATGGTGAAGAAGTGGATTTCTCCGATCTCAGTGAGTGCACACGATGCGTCTGAGAAAAAACAAACATCCTTTTGACTGACAGAATGCTGTCTATGTTTATGTGGCCACCTTTTCAGTGTCTGATGATACTAAATACTCTCGTTCTTTTGCTGTCAACGGCAGCAACTGGATCCACTGCATACTCAGGATACTGTCTTTGTTAAACTTGGATAGTTTTATAATGAAGCAACAATAAAAGCAACAGTTGACACTCCATGCGTAACAGCTTTCCGATGGCTACAGGTGGAAAAATATCCAACTTATTTTAACATATAGAATCAAGTGTTGTTCTGTGTCTTCAAGCAGGAGTGAATCTGACCTCTGGCACTGTACACGGAGAGGTTCTCTCAAAGAAGTTTAATCAAAGTGAGAATGACAAGCCCCCATCCCTTCATAGCTGCTCGGTGTGTGGAAAAGACTTCCCTTACGCCTCCAAACTCAAGCGCCACTTACGCACCCACTCGGGAGAGAGGCCTTTCCCCTGCTCCATGTGTGAAAAGAGATTCCCGGAAAAGGGGCTCCTCATGATCCACGAAAGAGTCCACACGGGGGAGAAGCCCTTCCCGTGCACTTTCTGTGAGAAACGGTTCGCCAGCCAGGGGGAGCTGAGGCTACACCGGCGGACGCACACCGGCGAGAGGCCGTACCACTGCTCCATCTGCCTGAAGAGCTTTTCCCGCCACTGGCACCTGAAAACCCACCTGGAGGCGATGCACTCCGAGGTGGTGGCGGGCTTCACCAGGAAGAAGTTCCCTTGCTCGGACTGTGACAAGAGCTGCAACTCGGCCGCCGAGCTGCGGGACCATCAGAGGACGCACACCGGGGAGAGGCCCTTCCAGTGCTCCTTCTGCGACAAGCGCTTCGCGCTGTCGGGCACGCTGGTCCGACACGAGCGCCTGCACACCGGCATCACGCCCTACCACTGCTCCGACTGCGGGAAGACGTTCGCCCAGCAGTGGACGCTCACCACCCACATGCGGACGCACACGGGGGAGAAGCCCTACAGCTGCACGCAGTGCAGCAAATCCTTCGTGGCGCCGGGCGAGCTCCGCAGGCACAGCCGGATCCACACGGGGGAGAAGCCCTACAGCTGCGCCGACTGCGGGAGGCACTTCTCGCTGGCGGGGACGCTCAGAAACCACAGGCGCTCGTGCACACAGAACAAGGACGACCCCGCCGCTGTTGTCCCGGACGAAGTCCAGGATCCGCCACACGAGCCGTCCCGGAGACGCCTGGCCAGCGACGCCCTGAGTAAGGTAGTGACGCCCACGCTGTGTCGGCGTACAGTGTCTGTGTGTTGCCTACCGTCGTCCTGATAGTGTCCTGTTTTGCAGGCGTCCGACGGCCAGAGTCTGCCCAGTGATGCCAATCACTTTCCCTCAGAGGGGCTTACCTGTGTCAAAGCAGCGCAACGTGAGACTAACCCAGTAGAACCACCGGAGCAGCCGGAGCACAGCGTTTCCACTCCTCTTGTGAATGTAATAATAAAAGAGGAGGAAGAGGAAGAGCCATTATGCGGTACGTAAGTCCGATATTATATGTTTCCTTCTCACTTCTGCACTCAGTGATGACAATTAACACATGTGTGCTGCTGTGCTTCTGCCAGTGGAAGAAAGCCCAGATGTGGCTTCTGGGGGGGAAGACAGCACCATGCCAGAGGAACCTGAAGGTGAGCACCAGGAAAGCGTCACAGGAATAAGGATTACAGTCAAGGAGGAAGAAGAGGAAACGGCCAGCAGTAAGGAAAATACACAACAGCAGAGTTTAGGTTTGTTAATGTTGGTCAATGTTAATAGCAGCACATTTTAACCACATACAATCTGTTTCTTGGAACTTTTCATTTAGGAAATAGTAATTACTGTTTGGCAACTCAACATTTAAGCTCATTGTACCTGAAAAGCAAATTTCCATTGTTCCTACCTACAGTGTCAAAAGAAGATGCAAATCAAGTCCCAGGCGGCGAAAAAGACAGTGTTCCATCATCACCTGGGCGAAAAAAGTGCAGTAAAATTCCAACAAAGAGTTCTTATTGCTGCGGGCTCTGTGGAAGAGACTGCCACAAGATGTCAGCGCTCCAAATCCACATGCGAATTCACTCGGGAGAGAAACCGTACCAGTGCACTCTGTGTGGAAAACAGTTCACCCAGAAAGGCCAGCTCAAAGGCCACTATAAAGTGCACACGGGCGAAAAGCCCTTCTCCTGTCCGGACTGCGGCAAGAGTTTTGCCCACTCGGGTGCAATGAACAGACACCGACTGACTCACACAGGGGAGAGACCCTACCACTGCTCAGTGTGCGACAGGAGCTTCAACCAGTCGGGTCGCTTAAGGGAACATGAAAAGATCCACTTTGGGGAAAAGTTTGACTGCTCCGAGTGCGAGAAAAGCTTCACACGCGCGTCCAGCCTCAAGAACCATTTCAGGCTCCACACCGGCGAGAGACCCTACGGCTGCGACATCTGTGGGAGAGGGTTCAGCCGCTCGCAAAGCCTGAGACTCCACAGACGGAAGCACCAACAGATTCAGACAGAGGTGGAGTCTCCAGTCACCCGGAAGAGTGCTGACTTCTCCCAGAGCGACGACAACTCTCCAGTTAACATGTGCATCACAGACAAAAATTACTGATTTATTTATTAACCGCAGATATGTATTGTTAGTATTACTTAATCGTTTCAGTAAAACATCAACTTAACAAGAAGAGGGTAAGGACCTACATCTGTTAATATATAACTGTTGAACTCATATGTGGTTGTTCACATGACAAGTATTCAAACAAAACTATTGATGCCCCAGAAAACCTAATCAGTGGAAACACACTATACTTAAAAAATCCAATGAATAGTTATTCAAAGATCTTTAATTAGTTGGACCATACATTTAACTGGAAAGACATATGTTTGGCTCGGACATTCACATTTTAAGTGTTATAGTTGTATAAACAGTTCTTTTATAAGGTCTGTGATTTCACTTTGTCCATGTGGTATTTGTTATCAGAAACATTGTGTTCTTGGACATTGGATGAATTCTGATTGACGGACGATTAGTCCATTCATAAGTAAGGCTTTGTTTTAAAAAGTCCCACTAGAGTTTTCCTGAAAACCTAAAACTGTTCATGCTATTATGTTTAACTTCCTCAGAAGAAACTAAAACAGGACATGACACCACTGGAAAGGTTAAACCTTTGGCTTTCTTGTCAGAGAAAGATTTTGCTGATGTCTTTATTTGTATTGAATAAAAACTATTTGTGTGTCTTGATAATGGTATAACAGTCATATTATAAGCACATGCACACTGAAAAGGTCAGAATGCAATTCAGATTTTAGTGTGTTGGATGTTCGCTAAAGCAAACTAAGCCTAAGTGGAACTCTGTCGGATGTTTATGCAGCGGCTGTGTAAAAAACATTTCTCTAATACAAAGAGGCCAAGTAAATGTTGTGACTAAAAAGAATCAAATGAATGGTCTGACACGAGAAGGAAAATATTTAAAGCCTATCTAATGTATAGGATGTGTCAAACTGAACAATAAAATTTACATCCGAAATTATTAGTTTGTGATTGTAGAAATGCATATACATATATATTTTTTTTATTTAAAAAAAAATTCACTGAACTTTAGTCATGTGAAAATCTAATAATCCATCACATGTACACCAAACATTTGGGGGGAAACAAGGTATTCTTGCATTATCCATAAGGAACACTAACCACAGCTCAGATGGGTCTTTTAAGCCAAAATATGTTTAGTGTAATTTAAACACTTGTATACAATGGCCAAAGTTATTTTTCCGCTCAGTGGAAACACAATTAAAACCCACTCTTTTATGCCGGTGTCTATCTTGTCATGCATGAAATGTCTAAAAGAGACAGCGCCCCAGACTGTTTTAAACCGCAACTTATTGATGACCATAAATTATTCACAAAGCATAGACCTGTTGACACTGAATAATAAAGTCACATTCAGTTTGTCAACAAACGCCCTCCTGATACATTAAGGAGACGGAAGTTGTAGAAATTTCGAGGTTTCCGTGAACGCGACGCACAGATAAACAGACGCGCAACGTGCAATAAACTGAAGGCCTGGTATTAAGAGATAGTCTGTGTTTCGAAATATTTCTTAACGTCGCATTTTAAAAAGGGCAAAATACTTTTGCCCGCATGTTTTGTACGCCTGTAAACTAAGGTCTAAGAACATTCAGGTAAGTTGACATTAACCCTGTTGTTCGTGAGCGTTAGCTTTTGTTAGCTAAAGCAAAGGCATATCAAGAACTTTGTGTGGAAATGTTTTGCTAGTAAAGTTAGCCAATGCTAAAGTGCACCGGTTGTTTAATTGACCAATGGGTCATTTAGTCCAAAATTGATATTATTGTCAGCCTTGTCAGTCCGTCGTAAACACTGTAGATGGTTCAATTACCGAAATTAGAATATGAACACTGTAATATTAAGAATTTACAACGGCTAACTAAATTTAGCAACAACATGTCTTTTGCTTTGGACAAACACCTTAATCAATTGTTCGTCAAAGCTGCATATATTCATGTAATATAATTAACCCATGGAATAGATTTGTTGAAGACCAAGCTCAACTTGGATGCAGCACACGGTTTATATTTAGAAATACAGTTTGTTTATGATTAAATGAATGAACACTTATCTGCCTTTTTATTGTTCTTGATACTGTTTATGATCGTTGCAATAAATCCGGGTTCAAATCACTGAATGGAAGTGAAATACTACATACTCATTTCAAACTCTTTGTTTATCTTTTTCTAAGGCGTCCATTAACAGGATGGTGTCCTACAAGAGGCTGAATCCTGAAGATGTTCAATTTTCCACTGCGGTTTTGTCAGAGCCTCGCTGTCTTCAAGATATTCCAGTGAGTTCACATCTGGTGACTGCTCCTCTCTGTCTGTGCCCCTCCGAATTTAGATTTAAGATCAAGAAAGTTATCCCGTCTCTAATGCTGGTGGCAGTATGCATTGTCTTCTGAGAAGACCAATGTAGAGATCTGTGCCACAACAACAAAAAAGGACTCTAACACTCTAATTAGTCTAAAACTGACTGGTCTTGTGAAAATGATTAGGTTTTTCATTTTCTTTTTTTTTTTTTACAAGATTGTGATCTTTCTCTTGATTTCCTTTTTTAAGGTGTCGGAGCCAGAGGAGTCCTCTTTGCTCCCACGTAGGCCACCATGCTCCATCACCACAGGTCTCCTGGTAATTGGTTGCCTACTGCTGCTCCTTTGTGGAGGCTGGCTACTGGGTACCTTGTTCTGGCTGCACGGTCCCTCCAAGCTGCAACCTCACAAACCACCCCCACCATCCCCAGGACAAATAGAATTAACTGACACTGGAACTGCTTCCCGCGGTGAAGCTTGCAGTTTAATCCCAGAGGCATCTAGGTTTGATTGCTACCCTGAAACGGGGGTTGTTGTGACCCGAGAGCTGTGTGAGGCCAGGAACTGCTGCTTTATCCCTGCATCCACCGCCTCCCCCGCTGCCACCAGATCATCAAGGAAAAATGGCATCCCCTGGTGCTTCTATCCGCTAGATTTTCCGTCCTACTCACTGATGTCACTGAATGAAACCTTGCTGGGGCAGAAGGGTACACTTGTAAAGGAGGTGAAGACTTACTACCCTGGGGACATCCTCACTTTAGAGGTGGAAACACGACACGAGACGGACACGCGCATGCGTGTCAGGGTGAGTTGAGCATCAGGTTTATTTTTATTTTATTTTTTTATTTTCTTATTGTCAGATCATTGAGACAGAGACTGATTTCTGTCATTTAATTTTTCACAAAAAACATTATTAGTCTACAGACGTTTGCCTTATGATTGACCCAAATTATGAAAAGTCACTGTTGTAAACTTTGGATGTCTTAACATTTACACAAATTGCTCTTATCGTAGATAACTGATCCTTCAAGTTCACGGTTTGAGGTTCCGATCTCTGTGCCCAACGCCACCAAGAAGGCAGAAAATCCCGAGTATGTTGTTGAGCTTTCAGAGAAGCCGTTTGGTCTCATTGTGAAGAGAAGATCTTCTGGGGCGGTGATGTGAGTGACCTCAACTGTAACGTTACCCTCATTTGTGGAAATATCTTTTTCGTTTGAACTAACATACTTCTGTTTTCTTTTAGCTTGAACACCACAGTGGCTCCTCTCTTCTATGCAGATCAGTTCCTCCAGTTTTCCACTTCTCTACCTTCTCAATATGTTTTTGGCCTGGGGGAGCACCGCTCCACTTTCCTGCACGATATTCAATGGAACACACTCACAATGTGGGCCAGAGACGTGCCCCCCACGGTAATCGAAGCTTTCATCGTTCAGCGCACGCTTCCTTTATTTAAAACGGCTGAACAGGAGTGATAGTGAGGGTCCAGGTCTTGTTAAATGCTGCGGTCAATATCCTCATCTGTCTCTCCTCACATGAACTACACTGTGTCTGTTACTCTGCAACATAATTGGTCAAATAAATGCGCTTGATGTCGTGCAGATATTTCAGTGAAGGGGAAAGTAATGAAAAGGGTTCTCTCTGGTATGCAGGAGCAGACCAATCTGTATGGGGCCCATCCATTCTACCTGGTGATGGAGGATGAAGGGAATGCACATGGTATCTTCCTGCTCAACAGTAATGCAATGGGTCAGTCTTCTTATCATTCTGATCCTATAATTCAAAGTTCATCTACGTGCTGCATTCCACTGACATTTGATGACACAAGTCAGCATCAGCAGCTGACCGAAAAACGCCTGTTTACGTATTACAATTTCACAACAGTTCAAATGATTGCTGACAGAGTGCAAGAAACATTCAAAAAGCAGAAGTTCTAGTTGTTTTTCCCTGTGATTAACATGAACATTACTTCAGGCCACCTGACGTCCCTGTGGTGTTTAACAACATCCTCGTGCTCGTTTGATTTTTGTGATGAAGTTGTGAAACATTATCAAACCTAAGCAAAATCCAAACTGAAATAAATATAAATATAATAATAAATAAACCAATTTCATTCAGCAGTTTAAAAGCAGCTTTCAATCATAAGTTTGTTTTTTTTGCACCATTTCATTCTGCTCCTCATCAGTAAAAAAGATGTAGATCATTTTCAGGAGTTGATGGCTGATTTGATATATCTGAGAATACAATTTCTACTTCTTATTTATTTACCTTTAGCATTTTTCAGATTTCCTGAAGACTTGGAACTGAATGAGCTCTAATTGTCTGCTGCTGACTTTAGTATTTGTCCTTTTTGTTCCCAATGTTTTATCAGATGTGGTCCTCCAACCTGCCCCAGCTCTAACGTGGCGTACTATCGGTGGAATCCTTGACTTCTATGTGTTCCTCGGTCCTGATCCTGCTTCAGTAATTGAACAGTATGTGCAGGTTATAGGTCAGTATGAGTTTTCCCTGAGTTCTTTGTTTAGCTGCATGACTTCTAATGCTGTACAGTAAATCATACCACTCATCAGACTCTGTGTTGGGTGATTCATTAGCCTCACTGTAAAGTTTTGGAAAAACCTTTAAACAACTTCTGTAATCTGTGACATGATTCAGAGGAACTGAAATGAGCAATGGCACACTCCCTAGACATTCTGTCTGTGTTTGTGGCTTTCGCAGGGTACCCAGCCATGCCCATCTACTGGGCTTTAGGATACCATCTATGTCGGTGGGGTTACAAGACTAGTAACTCTACATGGGAGGTTGTCAAGAGCATGAGAAATAATGGAATACCTCAGGTATTCTGGATTACATTTTTTATATACATTTTTGTTGATTTTATATTTGCAGCGAATAGTGACGACTTTCAAAGAAAACCTAAAAAAAAAGCTTATTTTGGTATATATTTATTTTTGGTATTCAGTTGGTTTATTTGAACCAAGTTGGGATGAGAGACATGCAGTGTGCTCAGACTGTGTCTGTTTGGTTGCAGGACGTCCAGTGGAATGACATCGACTACATGGATCATTCTATGGATTTCACTTTTGACCCGACGCAGTTTGACACATTGCCTGACCTCGTCAAAGACCTGCATGCTCATAACCAGACCTATGTCATGATCCTGGTACACACCAGTCCGCAACATGCTTTTGTGGGTTTTGTCTCTAATTAGTTTTGTAACCCTAAACATGTTTTTTTTATTTTTTTATCCCCTCCACTTGCAGGATCCAGGTATCAGCAGCACACAGCCTGAAGGCTCATACTGGCCCTTTGATGAGGGATTAAAGAGAGGAGTTTTTATTAAAGACGCTGAGGGGAAAACTCTTGTTGGCAAGGTGAGACAGAAGTGGCCGTTCAGTAAAATGTAATATGAAGATGAGAATATGTGTTGAAGAAGTTCAGGAAAAACTGAAATGTAGCCTGACAGGGTTATGTTTGTGCCGCCTTCACTTGCCCACTGAAATGCAAAGTGGAGTCGACTGCTATGAAAACTGATATTGTGTCAGTGGAGATAACCACGAGTGGACAGGAGCCTGACCGTAACATAAAAGATGATTAAAGTCCAAATGTCAGCATATCAACACGTATTCTGTTGATTACGGGTGTCAAAGGTCACTCTGAGCCATTCCAATCTCGTTTCATTGATGCATGGTTGTTTATATTTTTGACAGATAGCTAAGTCTGAAAGAAAACCAATCAAGTGTGTTAGGATTTTAGTGTAAATCTATTAGAACAGGCATGTAAAAATGCGTTCCTGTTCTATTCAGAAAAAAACTGTTTTCCCCTTTTTTAGGTGTGGCCTGGTCTGACCGCATATCCTGACTTCTCTGATGAGGTGACACATGAATGGTGGTACGACAACCTACAGAGGTTCCATGAGAAGGTGCCGTTTGATGGATTATGGATTGTAAGTAAGGCAACAGGAGACCATGACCTAGTAAACAGTGCCTCTTAACTTAGAGAACATCTTCTTCCTCAAACTGTCTCCATTTTGTTTCAGGACATGAATGAGCCTTCTAACTTCTTGGATGGATCAACCAATGGCTGCCCATCCAATAGTCTTGAAAATCCACCTTATACTCCAGGTTTGAGATGTTGCTCTCTACAGCAAATGCATAAAATTACAATATCAATCAAACGACTGCAAAAACTCAATCTTTCCCTTCAGGTGTGCTGGGAGGTTTGCTTAGAGCCAAAACCGTGTGTGCCACTGCCCAGCAGAAACAGTCCATACATTACAACATGCATAGCCTCTATGGACTTATGGAAGCTAAAGCCTCTGCAAGGTGTGGAGTTTTAATACCCTGACGAGCACAGTGAACATCTGAATGATTCATTTACTCACTTTGTGTTTGTTCTCTTTCCTAAATCTGTCCACTGTTCTTCTCTTCTTTGTCGTTTGCACAGCGCTCTGAAACGCATTTTGGGAAAAAGACCTTTTGTGATCTCTCGCTCCACCTTCCCCAGTCAGGGGCTGTACTCGGGTCACTGGCTGGGAGACAACAGGAGCCAGTGGAAAGATCTTTATACATCTATTGCAGGTTAGAAGTTTGTGACACTTTTGACCCATTTATGTAGTAAAAACCGGTCGTTGAAAACTGATTTGTTTGGAGGATAACGCATTACTTTATTCATTTTCAAACAGACACCTATTATACATGTTAATTTCTGTAATGTAGTTATGTGAAATGCCTAAGAGTTTGAGAATACCAGTGAATGCTGATGGACAACCCAAACTGAACGTTCATCAGAAAAAGGGCCATCAAGATTTTTTTTTTTTTTTTTCCCCCCGACTGCATCTATGATGGTTTTAACTCAAACCGATAAACAGGACTGTCTGTGTGATAAAGAAGTGATGCTCTGTAAAAAGTCAACAGTGTAGCATTTGCTTGATTTCTTAAATATGAAAGATGGAGTTTTGCAGACAACAGGTCAGTCCACCCTCTCCCCTGGTCCCTCTGTGGGGTACCACGATATTGTACTGCCACAAGGGATATTTATAACCCCTAAAGAATGTTCTGGCTCTTTTCTGGGATCTCCTCTAGATTGAATATATCTGAAATGCAACTAAAGAAACATGACCGGAGGCATCCTAATCGAAAGCCAGAACTAGCTTCCTGTGATCTGCTAGAAGAGGCATCATATGTGAGGGTTGGAATAAAGATGACGTTGTAGGTGGAAAGCTCTGCTCCCTGTTCACAATAACAGCCTAAGCTCCTTTGCTTTGAGGTAGAGAATCCTTTCTGACTCAAAAGGAATGCTAAACCCTTCTCTCTGAGTTTGGAAGTGCTGACTTTCATCCGTTGCTTGCCACACGGCTGAAAACCACTTCAATATATGCTGACAGAAATGCTTCTTCTGCAAAGAGTAACAATCCAACCCAGAACTCCCCAGGTCAGGCGGCCTCTTCTTTAAAGTACACCCTGAGTCCTGCTCTCGAATACAAGAAATAGAAGAAATGACTTGGAGCGGTCTTGGAGTTCGACATGCATGACAAATAACCTGACCTTATTGAATAGTTGTGTACACAGCTTTTCGTTGGTTAGATAGGGACCACAACAGATACTCTGGCAACAGAATTCCTCGGTGGACACGGATTCAAAACCCTAAGAATAAGTTGTCACGATCTCCTGACCACACCTCCTTCAATAATGTGATGTTTCATTTTTCTCTCTAACTTTTAGTTGTTGTTTTTTTCCCCCTTCCCCTCAGGTATTTTGACCTTTAACCTTCTGGGTATCCCACTGGTGGGAGCGGATATCTGTGGCTTCAGTGAAGAACCACAGGAGGAGCTGTGTATCCGATGGACCCAGCTAGGAGCTTTCTATCCCTTCACACGGAACCACAATGCCATCGACATGCAGGTGAGGGGGACTTCAATTTGCGTTATCATCCAGATTCTACCTGCAAAGCATCTCTGCTTTGTGAGAAGGAAACATTTTATTTTCCAGTGTGATGATGCCTCTTCTTGTATAATTTTCTTGTAAAGTGATTCTATATCTTATTGTTCAGTTTGAATCTTTTTGCATAATTGGGAATTGCCTTTTTTGTTGAACTGTTTTTAAAATGTTTTAAAAAGCCTCAGGATCCCACAGCCTTCAGCCCGCTGGCCCGGATAGCCATGAAGCAGGCCCTACTTCTGCGCTACTCTCTCTTTCCTTTCCTTTACACTCTCTTTCATCATGCGCATGTCCACGGACACACCGTTGCTCGGCCAATAATGTTTGAGTAAGAGCATTTTTTACTTGATATTCCTGCAAACTATTATTTTATCTTTTGATATTTTGAGTGTTTTGATGGAACTTTGTGTATCCTTCATGTAATCACTAGGTTCCCAAAGGATGTAAAGACTTATGGGATTGACAAACAGTTCCTTTGGGGAAGAAGTTTATTAGTGACGCCTGTTTTGGAGCCTGGAGTCGACTATGTGGATGGTTACTTCCCTGAGGGTCTGTGGTATGACTACTATATGGTGAGACTCATGAAAAATCGATAGATAAGCGAAAATGGTGTTTAAAGAAAGCAAAGCGGTATGGCTCGAGCATAATGCATAACTCTCCAGTGTATTCCTCTTTTCTTTTCAGGGTGACTCTGTTCGCAGCAAAGGTGAGGAGCTCAAACTCCATGCACCACTGGATAAGATTAACCTGCATCTGCGTGAGGGCTCCATCGTCCCAACACAGGTAAATGGGTCTCAGCTGAGTTTACATTGTGATCCCAGACATTCCTTCCTTTTTTTTTCACCTCCTGCCATTCAGATAACATAAAGTCTCATTTAGCAAGTCCTAGTAAAGTTTTTCAAAGCTCTCTTACCTCTTAGCTGATCTTAGTTTTATCATGAATTAGAGTCAATGCTGACATACTCGACCACTTCTGTAGTCAAATCTGTTTGACACTTCCATGTCTCACAAGACACCCAACCTGACCCTGTGGATAAGCAGTGGTCAGCCCCTTCATCTGGTCTCGGCTCTCTCCGACGAAGGCTCGGCCACCGGCGATCTGTTCTGGGACGACGGAGAGACCATCGACGCCTACGAGAACGACCAGTACACCTACGTCCTCTTCAGCGTCGCCCAGGTGCTCATTCTCTGTTTAACTGGCCGACATTGTCAGACCAAGAATGTGGTTCTGTTTGTCACAGTGACTTTGCGTCCTTTTGTCCGAACCCGTTCCAACTATGTTGGAGGTGGAATTCTGAGATTTCAGATTGTTCATATGCACTAAAGTCTTAAAGGGAACCTAATGTTTTTACTGCTGTAAATGTATTTATTTTTTTGGTATAACTGTAGTTTTGCTGATCTGTCTTCTTTTCTAGAGCGTGATGACCTCTCAGGTGCTCCACAGCGACGAGGAGGGCTCATTTATCACTGTGGACTCAGCCACCTTCTACGGTGTCAAAGACAAGCCCAGCAGAGTTATTGTGAACTCCAAAGACGCACCTTTCACCTACAGAGCCAACAAGGTGAGATCAGGTGTCAGGTCTTATCAATATGGGTGATGCATGCATCGTACGACTCGTTCAGAAGTGGTTGAGGGAAAAAAAGGTCTTAACTTGTAACCCTGAATCGGGTATCAAGTCTTTAAAAAAAGAAGGATTTTGCAGATACTATGTGCAAACCGGCAGGATGTTAGGGCACCTAACTCCAACACAAACATCCAACAACCAACTGACTGTACACAGCAGCAGTTTATCACATCGGATAAACGTTGGTGTAGTAATAAAAAGCTTGTTTTGTATCAGAGGTCGAAGGTAAGCAAAGGCGTTTCTTTTACTGTAGTCTTCTCCACTCCGGGAGAGATAACATTTACAACAATACAGCAGTTCACTCCATGTCTGATTTATTTATTCATTTTCCCCATCTGAATAAACTGTATTAACCAGCGAGGTAGATCAAGAGCGAATGACTTAATTCCCCAGTTATTCATTTACAGCTTATCAAAGGATATTTGTCACGAGGGGATCACTGACTCAGTGAGCTGAAAGAAGACCCACTACATAACAACTTGACTGAATTTCTAGAGTGCTTTTCAGGTCTTTTTGGCCACCCAAGGCACTCTGTATGACAAGCTATGTTCACTGACATCTGAATACTCTGCTGCTTGTAGTGTCACTTAAGTCATCAAATATTATTTTACATGAATTATTTGCGAATAGACGGAGCAAAAATTAATCATCATAATGTCACAAAGTCAATTTGATTTAGCTGCTGAATTAAGTGGTGTGGTAATGAGGCTAATGATGCTCACAGTCTCTTTGGAGGAATTGTTTAAGTAGATTTTATTCATCAGCAGAAAAATTAAGGAAAAAAGTTCCTTATTCACTCGGTAGGCAAAGCCATTCAGTCTTGGGCAGTTTATTTCATTTTTGTTTAACTTAGCTTCAGTAGTGAACTCGTATTACTTGTTTTCCTTTCTCTCCACAGGTGTTGACTGTAGCGGATCTGGGCCTCAACCTCATCCAGAACTTCACCATCAGCTGGATGTGATGATTTGGTTGCCGTGTTTTGCTGCTGTCGCACACATACGCTGACTTACTGTTTGAGCATACTGACGTCTTTCAGTGTTTTGGTTCTGTACTCCAGAACACTGAATCACAGAGGAATGTCAGGGAATCAAGCTCTATCAGGGCTGGTTTAGAGCATCTTGGAGTGTATCACTTTTTTTTTCAGCTGAACTTGCCTGCTCTGGGTCGAGTGAGTAAACCACAGTAGGTCAAGACGTCCCAAACGTGGCAATTTCAGCGATTCATTTCAAAGCTACAGCTGAAATGCAGACTAGATCTATTATCCTCAGGTGAAAGCTCACAGTCTTTATTTTGTTCGATTAGAACGCAGAGCCGAAATATTCAGTCAGAAGTGAAGTGAAGTGAAGACACTTGACAGTAAGTTAGGCAAAGTGATTGCGCATGTACATGTCATCCGCGACAGGCTTTGCTCAAATCAAAAAGACAAAAGAATCTTTGTGTGACCCTCCGAGGCTCGCAGACATGCATCACTGATCAACAGTAGTTAGAACGCTGCATTAGTCAGTTATGGAGTCTCATTATGGAGGCATCTGACTTGGCCTTTTTAGTTTTATAGCTGCTGCTTCTTTCTTTTCTTTTTTTTTTTTTAACTTCTCATCAGCAGGAAGGTAATGTGCAATAAAAAGCAGGAGGATTGTCTGCTCCACTGAAAATGTGACAATTTTTAATATAGATGACGATGTAAAACTATGCGATGCCGTTGCTGACACACTGTTTTGCCTCGTGGTCGTTGCAGCGTAGGAAAAGCAGGCAGAGGTGCCTTATGTTTGTTTTATGGCTAATCTTTTTTTTTTTTTTCATTAACCGTACGTGTTCAGCTCGATACCAAAATCCCGTCTCCAACACTGAAGACCATAATGCTGTCATGAATTAAGGTAAATGAGCAGTAATCAGTCAACTTGAAGGTAATGCTGTTTCAAACTAGTGTATTGTTGTTGTTTTCTGAAAAATCAGATGTTTGTGTACATGAAGTGTTCGACAAAAATACCAAAACCTTTTCGTCAATTCACTTTTAACAAAAACCTCAAACTCTTTCTGTGTTGTTTAATTAAAACTTTTGGCTCAGATTTTCACTTGATATCACTTTAGTTTTGCAAGTGCTCACCCAGTTTGTTCACATTTAAGTGTAACAGCTGGGCAATAGAAGCCCCCCCCCCCTACATTAAGATTAATTTTGTGTCCCTTTTTGTTTTAATGGCTTTGTGTGATCAGCTTGTTTCATTTGAATAAATTGTACTTCTAACCATGATGATGACAGTCCTTCTGACACTAGAGGGCAAAGTTTCTCTCTGTCCTTGAGATTTTTAACACAACTTTAATTTTTCTCATAATTGTATGTGGTCGTTCAGCTGCCGAGGCTCTGAATTGCAAGCGATTCTGACATGGTTTTTTCCCATTTTAAATATTGTCTTTGTTAATCAGCAGACGGCATCAGCTTGTTGGCAAGCTGTGCAGTTAATTTTTGCCTTTTCTATTCTGGCACAGGCCCTCTTACAGCCATCAACAATGTTGAAATCCTGGTTTGTGTTTGCACAAACTGTAAAACTCCTCATTTTTGCTTCACGCTGCTTCCCTTTCATCATTTAATTGTGTGTGTGTTTGTGTGGACTTTTTACTGTTCTCAGGCTTCCCTCTTTGTTTCCCTATAAGTGAAGGGCCAATGTTGTTTGCGACACAGTTGTTTGGAGTCTGTTAAAAAGAAACACGTGTCATCTGAGGACAGATAAATTTGTCCAGATGAAATTGAATAACTCTAGCCTGAGTTGCCTTCTGTGGAAGCAAACAAGATTTGCAAGAGGCACTGATGCAAAACAAAGCTAGACTTTTCACTCTAAGGACATATTTCTGTCCCAAACACCCCCCCCCCCCTCCCTCCACCAGCAGCACCAACACATACATCAGAAAGCGAAAGCTCTGATAACTGAACTGAAGGTGCTCCAGAACTGATAAACTCGACCTGCCACAGCCATGTTTTCATTGGCCGTGTGTGAACGTTCACAGGCTAATTGTTTCCAGATGGGAGGTTGAAGAAGGGAACATGCATCATCCAGCAGAGGGGGGAGGAGAGAGTGCAGAGAGAAAGAGAGCAGTGGGGGTCTGTCAAAAGCATTCTGTTCAACTGACTAGGGCATTTCCTGCCTGGCTCTGGGAGGATTAACTATCTGAGTGTGTGTGTGTGTGTGTGTGTGTGTGTGGACACTGTGGGGGAATCTGCCTGCTTGATGTTCACGAGCATGCGTTTAATATTCACTTGTGGAACAAATCTTGATGAAGATTTCCTGTAAAGTTCAGGCCATTTTTTTTTCTTTTTGCCACATGGTTTCATGTATTTCTACTAAGAACAATTGCACTGTTGAGTGATTTGTTCATTGTTCAGTTTGATTCGAATCAACATTTGATAATTTTGACAGATGCCTGATATGTGAAAGAGCTGAGGGAGTCATTTAAAAAAAAAAGGCTAAAAGTAGCCTCATTGTTCAGCTTCTGACTCGTCTTGGCAGGACATTGTTTTTGACACGGTGGCGTGGGACCGTCCACAGAAACGACACAGTGCTGCTTTTTTACGCCTCCTTTGTGTTTCTCTCTGTGCGGGCTCCACATTCCTGCTCCCTTCTTTTAGTTCATTCACCACTTTTGTATGGTCTTTTTTTTCCACCTCTGTCTTCACAATGTGGATCACTGAATCTTTAGACATTTGATTTTTAATAGCTCATGTTAAAGTGAGAAAAAGCAACTGGATGCATTTAACGTGCAGCTGTGAATGGACTTCCATTTCCCTTTGGAATAGCTAAGTGACTTTTCCATGGCACTTTTTATCTGTTAAATCTGCCTTTAGCAGATAAATCATGTGTATGAAATGGTATTTGGAGATTACCTCACCCTTCCCTTTAGTTTATCTTAACAAAATTTGTTGACGTATTTGACAATCGGCGCCCAACTCAAAACACACCAGAAGTGCATGCAGTCAGACGCAGTGTAAACACAAAATGCAGACTTATTCATGTCAGATATTTGGCCTGTTGAACTGATGACCACCATTTCCCAGTAAACCTCTTCTTCTTGTCACACACCATGAGTATTTCCCATTTTAAATTCCTGTGAAGGCAACGTGAAAAATGCAAACAGCTAAAAAGCTACTCAAAAAGTGATCAGTCGCTTTATAAAGCAATAAGTTGGTTCTAAAGTTATCACGGCCCGGCTTGCCAGGCAGCGACTAAAAACGGGGAAAGGACAAACAAAATGCAAGTAGTACATCGTAAAAGAATATAGTTGAAGCTTTGGCTGTGACTAAATGAACCTCTGAGGGTTAGCATTCCAGCAGTGTAATTGTGGATGTGTGGCCCAAAGATGAACCAATCGAATGAATGGCAGAGCTGAGAGAGGGGTGGATTGCCAGGGCCTCTGGCTTTTATAACCCAGATTCTAACAGGAGCCACCCACCGAAGCCACCAACACTCCCAGTAGAGCTACACAAGCTCACGCCGCTACCTTCCACCATCCCCATCCCCTTTTTCTTTTACACCCAGCTTCAGAAACTAAGGAATAAATAGCTGGAAACAAACTACTGAAGGGAATGCGACTGACTATTTGACTGTGCAGTATCAGATGTAGTATTCTTCTCTTCCTTTTATGTAAGCTTGTTAACCAGCATCAGCACAACTTTGATGTAAATTTAGATTTACATAGATTTATGTAAAATTGAAGATTAATTTTTTGCCGCTGAGAGCTTTGCCTGCTGTTTGTTCAGTGTTACACCCACTGGTTTGCCCTATGCTTTTTCTGCCTTTTTGCTCAAGATGCGAATAAAAACTCCAATCATGTCTTTGCAGTCTGGTTCTATTTTTTAGTTGCCTGAAGCCGACTGGTGTTGGCCGAATGGTCTGAGCGGTAGCTGTTGAACTTTTCCTAGCAAATAATTTTTAATTGAACTTCTGACTCAATCAGACGATGTTCATTCCGTTCGTTTAAAAATAGACCCAAAAAGTTGGACCCAGCCTCTAAGGATTATGATGACTCAGCACATACGAATGTATGACTGAGTAAGGTCAGAGCGCAATTTATTTAAAGTTAATATTTTCCAAAGAAAGCCATGTGTTTTGAGCAGTGACATTTCCTTGTAATAAAATCGCAGGTTTTTACTCATGTTACATTAGTTAACCATTAAACACTGCCCGGACATCCTCAGACAGCCAGGGAAGAAGCCTTTCACAAAGTTTTTAGTGGCAACAGGAGTGACACTACACTGAAGTCCATGGTTTTCTTCTATTAAGTTTTATTTTCAGTCTCTAATGTTTAGCTGCTAAATGATACACTGTAGCCCGACATGACTTCCATCTTTGGATATAATTTGTGGTGACATACAAGAATACCATGACAAGAAAACCAAACCACAGGGACCACAACAATGTGACGACTTGTGATGAGTGTTTCATGTGGAAACCTGAAAGACATTAATGATTCATATCATAATGGTGATTAAAAACTACCAAAGCCCTTAGCAGGTTTATAAAGCCCTTAGCACAGTGTAGCTGAAATAAACTGCTCAGGTAGTTTTTAAATCACCTGAATTGTGAACTTGTCAGATATTAAATCAGGATTTTTTCAGACCAGATTGGCGGACTGTTAAGTGCTGCATTAGCGTATACATGTCTAGACAGATAGTCTCAATGGGCAGGCTTTTATTGAGTTTATTTACTAAAGTCTGAAGACATTTTCTGTAGTCGCTCCCTGGCCGATCAGATCTATTTGGCAACCATTAAGCAAAGTGGTAATAAAAGAAAATCTATTCTTAACCGACATGAAAAACAGGGCCAGCATAGTCATAGTCTTACAGCTGATTGGTGCAGGGGAGAACAAAAAAAAAAGAATTATGGCTGCTCAATAGAGTTAAGAAGCAGGAGAAACTACCTCAGCAAAAACAGGCCATGCTTGTTTCTTCCTGTGTTTTATAGCTGCCCACATTGTTGCCCATAAATCAACGGCCTTTTTCTGTCCTTTCTAAAAGAAGTTCACTTGAATAGCCGACTGCAACAAACAGAAATAAAACCTGGGTCTGCGCTGAGCAAGCAGAAACAGGAGTTTTCTGCGCAGGTATTAGCATGTCAGTGGAACAAAAGCCGGCTCCTCTCTGTTGTCACCCTGGTTCCTTCTCGATCGGGGCGGGAGTGAAAGTGTCAGGTAACCACCCCCCGACAGCACACCCGGCTGAACAGGACCAGACAGGCGCATTCAGCCAGGCTGCAGCCACACCTGGGGAGGTGTTTTCACCTGTCCCTTTCTCAGCTTAAAAAAGCTCACATGAACCACAATAGATGATGTAAGACTTCCCAACAGGAGGCTGTTCCCTTCTCAAGAACTCTCTCTGGAGATGTTTTGAGCAAGGCTGTTCTCTGCAGGCTCCTGGTGCTATTTGGGACATTTGACTGATGAGGGGAGAGATCTAAATCACAAGATCAACACAAGCATGGAGTGAGGGATACTTAAAGAAAGCTGAGGGTGAAATAGTCCTTCTGGGCCTAACTTCTAATCTTTCTGGTGAGAGGGTTTGATCTTTCTGGATGGGAAATATAATCAAGTTTGACTTGTAATAGTTAAACAGTTTTTCTCAGCCCTGGGGGATCAGCTGCATGTAAGGGACAACGTTAAGGAAGATCAGGAACCAGCTCAGCTCCACCCACACCGCGTCACGGCCGACCTTTCGCAGGTGTCACAGTTTGGCTTCTGTCAGACTTGAAGAGCTCATTTCCTAAGACGCGCTCACAGCCAGTTTGCTGTTTCCCGGATCCGGCGCGTCCGAGCTGCTGTGGAAAGTTTTTTGAAAGATTCCTGACTGAGGGAGGAGGAGGAGGAGAGGGGGGAGAAAGAGAGAGAGAGAGAGAGAGTTCAGCGAGTGCCCCAGCTGCTCTGTTGCGCCCGCGTTGGGACCAGTCCGGCTCCGCTCTCCGGGATGGCGGCCATCAAAGCTCTGCAGCAGTGGTGCCGGGTCCGGTGTGAGGGCTACCGGGACGTGTCCATCACGAACATGACCACGTCGTTCAGAGACGGCCTGGCTTTCTGCGCCCTCATCCATAAACACAGACCCGATCTCATGTGAGTAGAACCTGTACAAGCAAAGCAGGAACTAAGAGACAGCGTGCGCTCACGGTCCGTCTGATAAAAGCTGCGTCTGACGCCGTCAGCGGCCTCGATACTGACTTGATGGCGTGTTCCAGCCTGTTTTTGATGTAAGAAAGCAGAGATCGGTAGGTTTTGTGAGAGCCAGGTGACGGGGCTGCGCTCCGGAACCAAAGCCACCCGTGCGTAACGCATCCAGGAGTTTAGACTGCTGTGTACCAGCACGTGTGAACTGGATCTGGACCAGTGTGGCTTTTCACATAGTCTTTTGGGACTTTTTGTACAGACAAATCGTTAAAGATAAGTTAGAGTTGACATAACTTACCTGAGTGTTGAATATGACAGAAAAAAGTCAAAGAAAAAAAAATCTAACAACTGCTACTGTAGAGTTTTTATATAGGAATCCTTTTTTTTTGGCTAATGTTCCTTCAGCTCACACTGTTTCTGTGCACTTGGTGGCATCCTCTTGTTCCTCAGACTGTTGCTCTCTGGCCTTTTGACAAGGAAAGGTCAGTTTACTTATTCATGCGGGATGTGCTTATCTAAGGCCAGGTCGACTGAAGGATTATGGGAAATCAACCAGAGATGCTGGAGATGAGTTTTTTGCCAACACTTCCTAAAAGCCACTTGGTCCTGATATGTGGAACTCAAAATGCCAATCGGTGTAAACTGAACTTGAATAGAAAGGGGAACAGCTAAAGCGTGAGCAGGAGGAAGAGTGAGATTGGAGAAGTACATTCACGATGCACAGACAACGGCAAGCCCATTCAATCTGAACTACTCCACTCATTTTCTTTGAATTATGGGATGATCGTCTTCAAATAGCTGAAGTGAGGGTGCTGCAGGAAAACTCTGTCAGACATACAGATTGATGCATCAAGTCTGAAAAGGTCCCATGGCCTGATGTCAAAGAAAAACTCTCCTCACTCTGGTGCGCCTGCCCTTAGATTTGGTAATCCCATATCTGCACTTTTTGTCTTACGTCAGGCTCTTTTCATCCAGGCGTGCAGCCCGAATATGGTTTTATCCATATCATAAACGTCTCCTTTTTCATCCTCTGCCAGGCCGTCTCCATCCCGACGGACAGCGACAATATATTTCATCCATAGCATTAACATCCGCCCTACACTCTAGTTTGGGAATGTGTTTTCTCCAATGCTTATGCTCTACGAGCAGAACAGTCTGTGCTTAAGTGTGAGCTTCAGACACCACACCACCTCAAAGCAGTTCTGTGTCCACTTTGTTTTTTTTTGGTGTTTTTTCTCCGCTGCAGGGCAAAACTAAAGGGCCAACACGGCCACAATACAAACAAGAATAGCCACATTCCAGGTTGTTTGCATAATAGTGATACTGACCCCAAGGCTGTAACGGACAGCTACCACGGGTTGATGACAAGGCTCTTAAATGCAAAACAAACACTGTGGTCAGGTGGGACCCTCAATTTGTTGGGCTCCAGGTGAACTTATTCTAGTTCGGAATCATGAGGGCCTCTTGCCTCTTAAACCAGCCAACCACCATCTTACTCCAGCATCGAATTCTGTGTTTGTGCTCATTCATTGAGCAGATTGATGTAACACTTAGAAAACAAATCTTTGTGTTAATTCTGAGCAAAATCTTACCAGATTTATCCTCTTAACGCCTGACCTCCTCAGGTGATGCACTCCTTGTATGTAAACACTTAGTCAGACTTAAATAGGCTCCATGGATGATTCCTATCGCTGTTTTTTTGTGAGACCCTTATTATTTAAGTGTTAATCAATGCAGCCATACAAAGCTGCTCTCTTTCACACATTCTGTTTCTTTTATCAGGTAGATAAATCAATCAGAATTTGCAAGACATTTGCCGTCGGTTGGAGCATTTCCAGTCAGCCGCTCAGCTCTAATAAAGCCTCACACAAATGAGGTCTGTGAAGGCAGAGGGCTTGCCTAGTCTAGACTTGACTCTGCATTTTATTGTGCCGTCAGAGGATTCACTTGAAGTCGTAGAGCTAACGGAGCACATCAGTCCAGAGCAGGAGGAAAAAACCTGGCCCTTATCTCTGTTTAGTCTTAAAGGAAAGAGAAAGCAAAAAGGTCAGCACTTGATTCTGAAAACATTTTTGATAACAGAGGGAGTTTCCATCAGGAACAATGGGCTTGTACCTGGAAACTGATGTATATGACACATCCTGGCCTTAATGAGATCAGTCAATTTTTCAGAAATTCTTAACTAGTCATCAGAATCTGAACCGAGAATGGTTTTGGCTCCTTGTTTTTTTTTTTTTTTTTTTGTTGAATAAAGAGACCAAACCATTATTTCATGGCAGGATAAGGCTACTTTACTTTCTCCATTCTAGGTTTTACCCCCGGCCAATGCCACATGGTGGCATATTATTATACTTGCCATGAAACCCTAAACACTGGTTTAACGCTTTTACTCAGCATAGACCCTGTGATTAATGTAGGCTGGGTTTTGTGTTGGTTTCAGTTTTGGAGCATGAGACCAGTGACACAGCAGTCACAATGCGGATCTGTCTGGCCGTAGCACAGGAGTAAGGAAGCTATGCGTGACCAGACAACACATGTTCATGCTATTGTGCTTGTAAATAAATTAGGGCAGTAAAGAAAAAAAAAAAACAAGAACAAAAAAAAAACTGGATCATATGTTTTCTTACTCATGTTCTCCCTTTTCTGTTGCAGAAATTTTGACTCTCTGCAGAAGGAAAATGTCTACGAGAACAACAAGCTGGTAAGATTGTGGTGACATTGTGTGTTTTTCCTTCTGGTGATGGTGCCTTTCACAATCGTTGTTCGGCATCATTTCAACAAAGAGACTGCTGAGGGTTATGGAACTGAATGAAAGACTTTCCACCACATCATTAAAACCTAAAAGAATTGCATATCTGAAGAAGAATAACTAACTAAAAGTGCAAACGATGCATCTTGGAGTTAAATCTGGACTGGACTGTTTCCTCTGGATGTTGCTTCAGCACCATATTAAGTTGGGTCGCACTCACGAGTGGATTCCAAACCCAAACGCAGTTTCGATGTAGGCGTCCTGATTTTGGCTGCCGTGATGCATTCTTTACTTTCATTTCATGCTCAGGGCTTTGCTGTTGAGCTCTGCTGCTGCCAATATATCTAAAAGAAACAAACAAGACAAGGTGTTTGTGAAAGAAAAAAAAAGAGGAGGCACTACAGCGTAAAGCCCTGAATTTAAACAGAAAGTAATCTGGAGAGTTTGTGTGTCTCTTATCTGACTATCTGCTTGTTTGCTTGCCTCTGCTTGTTTACTTTTTTGTTCAGTTTTTTTTTCTTCAATGAAACTGGTCAGTGTGAGTCGAATTAACAAGTTCTGGAAAATCCTGCCAAATCTCTCAGTGGAATTTTACTCAGTGATTTGTGGATTAGACAGAATCTGACCTGAAATATTTCTAGTTTTCTTTATTTACTCACGGGCACAGTCTTTTAGTTAGAAATGTGGAAGAAGTAAGCTTTAATTTGGATTCAATTATCCAAAGCCTAATGCGTGTAACACCCACACAAAACGTACACAATTCTTTTTATTTATCTGTAATCTTAAAGTTGTCGAAACTGTGTTCTGTGGTAAAAGATAATCTTCATTTTAAATATTTACGGTGCTAGTTTATATATGGACTTCTTTTTTCGGTTTGTATTTGAGGTCTGTAAAGACAGGAAAATGCTTATGTGGGCTTTCATTTGGTTTATACTTGTATCGGCAAAATGTGGGAAAGTTAATGGTCTGATGTTCTTTTGTTCTGCTGGTAAAAGTTGACTTTTATTCACAGGCTTTTAGGGTTGCAGAGCAGGAGCTGGGAATTCCTGCACTTTTGGATGCAGAGGACATGGTGGCTCTTAAGATTCCTGACCGTCTCAGCATTCTGACCTATGTCTCGCAGTATTACAACTACTTCCACGGACGCTCCCCCAGTGAGTATCAACGCCCCGTCTCTCTGTCCATCCCTGCCTCTGTCAGTTTCTCCTCGTGTCTTACGCGTAACATACGTGTGTGCAGTCGGTGGTATGGGAGGTATAAAGCGTCCAGCCGAAGGCCCCGTCAATGAGCCCTCTGGGAAGAAAAACCAGCCTGTGGTGTCAAAGGTGTTTCCTGCTGCCAGGCCAGCGGGAAAGAGTAGCCCTCCTCCTTCCCCCAGGATCACAAAGCCCTTACCGTCACCAAAACAGAGCAGGAATCCAACACAGGTAACCTCCTCTACATGGACACCTCAAACTGGATTTCTAAGCAAAATTGATTTTTCAGAATACTTTTTAGTATGGAAAGCTGTTGGTTTTCTTTTTAAGGAAGAATGTGGACATATGCCACATCATACCCATTCAGATTTGATAAAATAATGATACAAATGCTTGATTTAGTCAGTTTCAGTAGATGTAGACACTGTTACAAAATAAAGAAAAGCACCCTTTAGTCATTTTTCTATGAATAAAGTCTCTCATACAGCCCTTCTCTTCCCTTTTTCTCTTATAGGATGCTCAGGTTGAGAAATCCCACCAGACGGGGACTCTGAGTAACAAATGTGCGCACTGTAACAAACACGTCCACCTGGTGCAGCGACATCTGCTGGAGGGGAAGCTCTATCACAGGAACTGTGCAAAGTAAGGCCAGTGATGCTGTTGCCATTGTAGTAACCGTTTATTCCCTAATTAAAGTTGCAAAGTCGTGGGTCTGTGCAAACTAATCAAGTCTGTTTTGTTATACTGTGTGAGGAAATGATTAGTTACAATGCAAATGCAAATTATTAGTAGGTTTTTCTTAAACTTCTTACGAGTTTGTAGGAAACGAGGACATAATATGCATACTCTTTTGCAACTTTTTAAATTCAAACTATACCATCTATTTAAAAAATGTGTTCGGTGCAGAAGGATTTAGTGCTGGAAAATGTCCCCTTTGACTGCACACTTCTATGTATTTCTTCATTAGCATTAAATACAATTTTGCTGTTGTGGTTGGCAGAAGTGAAACTAATTTTTAATAGAAAAAGAAATCATCTGCCAATTGTTTCAAATCCGGTCATGCGGTCCAGTTGTAAATATTATGAAAGTGTTGAAAAAGGCTCTGAGGCGTGCTTTACACATTAATGAGACAATGCTAATGAACTTGTGTAAACTTTGAATTGACGCAGTGGCTATTGCTGAGCTGTAGCTTGTGAATAATTTTCTTGGTGCATGATTTTCTGTTTTGCGGGACAGCAGCTTGTTTCTGAAGTTTGACCTTCCCTAATGCCGCGACCACATTATGTTTTCTGTCTTTCAGGTTGCTACCGACAAACGCGAGCTCACCACTTCGGGATTTAACCACAAACACCCATGCATCCAGATATACTCCACAGCCCAGTTCCAGTAAAGCCAACCCGGCGGCTCCAGCTCACTCACCATCCAAATTTGGACCCACATGGCACACGGAGAAACCTAGCGTTCCTCCCAGTGCCTCAAGCCCATTTTCTCCTTCACCTTCTTCCCGGCCTCTATCAACTGCTTCTGCTGTGAAAGAGAGTCCGACGGCCTTCGTCTCCAAATCCACTCCTTCTCCTTCCATAACCACCACCCCCGTCAGCACCAGGCCGGTCGCCGCCCCTCGCACGTCGACCACTGCGACCAAGACGCAAGAAGCCAAGTTTAAGTTCTTCCAGTCAGAAGGGAAGGAGACGTCGGCCATTAGCATGGACGTAAACAAAGGCCAGGGTACGAGTGGTAAAGCACAGGAGGCCAGAGCCGGCCAGGCTGTAACTGTGGTTGTAAATATGAAGGATGTGGATAAGGGTAAGGATGCGGCTAAGACGGGTGCGGTGGGCATGGCTCAGAGGAAACAGGAAAACCAGGACCAGGGTGATAAGACGAAAGCATCGGCGGCAGCGTTCATCTCCAAGAAACTATCTGAAGAGAACAACAATAACAACAGCAAGCCGCCATGGGTGAATGTGGCTCTCAAGAAAGCTGACAAGTAAGTAGTTCACCTCAGGCCCTTAAGGGCAGAGTTAATCATCGCATCCTGCTTAAGTCTGACCTCTACTGGTGAGGAATGCCATGTGATATGTTTATCACCTCTCGCAGGCCTCAGTCTCAAGAAGAGACGCCTAAAAAAGAGACGGGAGCAGTCAGAGGTAGAGTGAGGCTGAAAGTAGACCCGTCGATTCTGGCTGACCTGCAGCCCGTGAAGGCCCGGAGTCCTGCCCGCAGCCCGGTCAGCAGGAATGGAAACGCAGACAGGACTCCAGAAAGAGGAGGTTTAAGGCCTGGCAGCACATCGCCCAACACCTCAGGTAAAACCTGCTAACTAACACAACTGTGCATTCAGCCATCTGTCATCGGTGGGGTGGTCTTCAGGGTTTTTGTTTTTTTACCTTGAGGAAGCTGTCAAATGTCTCCTGGGGATCCAGTTTATTGCTGGATGCAATAAAAAAAAACAAAGAACAAAAACAAAGCACAAACATGATGTGTGAAATGGCACAAAGTCAATCAGAGCTTCTCTATGTAAATGTTCACGTAGATCTATAATATTGTTCTGTTTGTGTTCATATTGAAGAGACTCCAATGAGACGATATAAAAGTAACTTCAATAACACCATGGAGCAATATGCCAAAAAAAGTAAATGAATTATACGGGTATTTGTGTCTTGTGTGAGGCATTTTACATCGACTTTAAATGGCACGCAGCCACATTGAGTATGGACATCCATATATCCATATATGTTTTAATTTAAATTTAAATGTCTAGATAAAGCTATTTTTATGGTAGGTTTATTAAATACACTTTGAGGACCACTTTAATATGTAGTAGGGAAAACTAAAGGCAAAAAGACACAGAGAAGTGTTATTTTGAAAAAGAAATTGGCAAACTTTAAGTCGTACAAGATTAATTTGGTTTTAAATTTGTGTTGGCTGAACAAAAGAATGTACATAGAAGAGAAAATCATTTATACAAACTGTGGAAAAAGAACATAAACACAGCTGTCATTCTTCAACAGTGTCAGAAAACGAGTCTCCAGCAGACTGGAGGTCAAAACTGAAGCCTGTCTCCAAAGACACCAAGTAAGTACACACTTTTTTTGTGTGTTTGTCACTATTTCTATATTTCTGTGTGGTTCTTGTGGCCTCTTGGCTTCTGATTCTGTCGCCATAACAGCGGGGAGCGTCTGTACACAGGTGGGCTCTCAGCACACTAACATCACGAAGCTTTAACCGTCGGGGCTCTTTCTTTTTCTCCTGATGTCTCGTCCATCCATCCATCGCGTGTTCCAGTCCTCCATTCGTCTCTCCAAACGTTCCTCCCACAGGAAGCCTGTACCTGCTGCTCCTCCAAATGGCTCGCCCATCATTTGTAGTCAGGGCTCTCGGTCTCTCCTCTTCCGCCACATGCGTGCGAGCCCCAAATGGTGTCAGGACTGAGCAGAGTTCTCCGTGGTGCAACATATGCTCATTGCTCAGAGTTGCTCTCCCAAACCTGACCTTTACTTTTCCTCCCATGAATCAAAACTACAGACTGTGGGAAGACAAAAAAAACGACGGCTTCCTGACATAGATTATCTTCTGTTCAAATCCTCCAACTCCTCACCTGTTCTTTTCTCATCCATCAACAGACCTGTGGGCCCCACACTATCGCCTTCTAAATCGAGGCCGAGCGATACCGGGAAGACTTCGGAGCCCTCCCTTGGGATTTCCTCGTCTGCCCCTCGTACCCCCAGCCCGAGTATTTCTGTGACGTCTCTGGCTTCCAAAGGTGAAAAACACAGTCGCCTCAATTGTGATTTCTGTTCAGCTTAAACATGAGCTGGACAAACAACTCCACAGCTTCCACATTAAGCTTTTCTACATCAACCTAAGAATTATTATTCCTCAAATACTGTCCAGTTTTTTGTTTTTTGTTGATTTTATTCTGTTCAAAATGTTAGATTTTAGCTTTATTGACCTTTTTATTATTAATACCTTTCAGGATTACAGAATGGCAAGAAAGAGCAAACTGCAAATGGCACCACGCCAAAGAATTCTAAGGTAATGACCCTCATACAGAAAGACTTGTCTGATTTATTTATTTTTCTGTTGTCAGTTCTGCTACCTTCATATTATTTTAATTTGATTCCACCTCTTAGTCCTTTTTTTTTTTGTGGCCGTCTCTGTTTTGGTTCAGATCATCTTCAAAGTTTTTTCACCCTCTCTCAAATTTGGCCTCATTTGCATGTGTGTGTGTGACATCTGTAGACAAAACCCGACTACATTCCCAAAGAGGACATCATAAGAGAGCTCAACGAGATTGAAAATAATTTAAATGAGCTGGAAAAGAGGGGTGTCGAGCTGGAGGTGAAGCTGCGCAGCAGTGAGGAAGGTGAGGTGAACACACTCATGATGCACAGACCTCCTTAGCTGGGACAAGATATGAACAAACAGACTGAGTCAAAGGAGGGACTGTACCAGTGACTAACCCTGTGGGGCGTGTGTGTGTGTGTTTTATTTTGTCTCAGATGGTGACGATGATACGCTCATGGATGAGCTCATGGTTGAGTGGTTCAACTTGATCAGGAATAAGCAGGTGGCCATGCGCCGGGAGTCTGAGCTGGTGTATATGTGAGTTCACACGCCCAAATACACACACACTAAGAAAAAGGGGGCATGCCACTTTTTAGCGATTAGCAAAACAGACTTTGGGCCAGAAGGCTGACAGTTTGAGTTCCCTGCGTCCTCCCTCCTCCATCCCACAGCAAGGAACGCTAACTATGATTTTAAGAATAATTACTTGTGGATGTTTAAACTACGCTCTCCCAATCCCCCCCTTCCCCCCTGTAGCCATGCCCAAACAGAGGTTTGAAGCAGAAGGCAATGCACTCCACTTCATCTTCTGATACATAAATGCTAGAAAAAATCTTGGAGATAGACATGATTTTAAGAATAATTACTTGTGGACATTTCATTTATGTTGTCTCAATTTTATGATTTATTCTGTTTTACATCATACAACCAATCAGACCCTCTGGGCACCAGGTCCTCTAATTTTCACTGCAGAATTTTTTTATTATATGGAAGGATTAGAAAAATACAACAGATAAATACTTTATTCATGCCAAAAAGGCCCTGATATGTATCGGGAGGTCACTGTTTTTATGGTGGCAGACCACCCTATCTAATGAGGAAAGAGCTAGCAGAGGAGACAATATTCCAGCAAATTCTCTACATGTGAAAATCGACAACTTTTGCTCCTAAGCTTAAAAAGCATTTGATGCTACTTTGAATCGTTTATAACTAATTGAAAAAGGTAAAGATGCAACTAGAATTAGATTTGTTTTAAATTTTCATAACTGAAGAGATGTAGAATTTCATATTACTTCCTATAGTTGATCAATAATCATAACCACCTTATATATATTTTATTTTATTTTAGTTTACTGGTACAGATTCAAGCTATATGCTGCTTGAAAAATGTTTGTTTACCGATCTTATGTGCAGTGGAAGGACTCAGGACCTGGAGGAAGAGCAGCCCAGTGTGGAGCAGGAGCTCAGGAGGCTGATGGAGAAGCCGGGTGAGGGCGTCAGAGGAAAATAATTTAAGTAGAGTACAATGCAAGCTCTGCGTTGACCTGAGACTAAATCCTGTTTGTGTGCAGATCATTTGAAAACGAGCTGGGATAGGAAGAGAGAGGAACAGCTGATGGAAAAGCTGGTGGGGATCGTCAATGACAGAAACGCTCTCGTTGAGGGTCTGGATGAGGACAGACTGAGGTGGGTTTCTGAACAAAAACAGGAAGAGGTGGAGCGGGTTGTTTCTGAAATGAAAAAACTAAGGTGTGCACGTGGTTAAACCATTATAGATAAACACGAGACAATTTGGAGCTCTCTGTACGGGATGTTCTTTATCTTAAAAAAAGAAATGTGGTTAAGCTAAATTTTACTCAGAAGAGTGCTGCATACAAGCTCAATTTTTACATTTAAATAACTTAAACTGAACAAATGTAATAACACAAGCAAGGCATAACAGCAAATGCAATCTATGCTGAATTATTCTTATTCTCTTTTTTTCTTTACGGAGTATTGAGTAGGTTACGTGTTTGTCCTTCTTAAGTCTTTCCACTCATTTGTATTGTCTTGTACTTTGTATTTTAAGGTCAGGCTGTCAGATGTTCTTAAAGTCCTTGTTAAGAATCGTACAGCGTATTAAATTTCTTATGATTTGCATTTATTTGAATCTACAGTTTTTAGGTTTGAGTATTCCTAAAACATTTTTGAGGGCGGCCTGTTTCTAACTTTTGGTGCCTTGTACGAACACGGTTTATGGACTCGATCTGTATTCTGACTTTATGCTTAATTTGTCCCAGGGAGGAAGAGGAGGATGAGGAGCTGAACAAGATGATGATGAATTTCAGTGAGTGTTTCAGCCGCCTCCGCTGGTGCCTCTGCCCACCGCCGGCTCCGGCTCTGTTGGGAAGTTATCACAACCCCAGTGTCACCGCATCCTATCTGGTGTATAAATGAGGAGATTTAGAATTTTCATCATGTGGATTTTCTAATTGAAGTGGATAAAATTCTCACCGTGGTTCATGGAAGTTTACACGTGTGTGAACTTGTGTTGCTTTTTTTCTTTTCCAGCGTTGCATCGGGTAATGTTTTCATTTGATCTAATGTCAGCTAATGGAAAAAGCATCCAACACAATGCTCCCCCCCCCTTTTTTTTTGTCGCCACCATTCCTATTAGACAAATGGATAATGCAGGCGTTTAATTTGACCCTCTGATAGAATAGAGCTAAAGCCGGCTTCATTTGCAATTCATAATCAGGAATGCGCGGCTGAAATTGAGATTTATTGAACTTTCGTGAAAGGTCATTATGTTTCAGCAGGCAAGTGCAGACAACGGGCTAAAGTTGAGCCATTTTGGTTAAATGAATTCATGAAGTTGATACCAAAGTTTCCCTGTTCACTCTCACTCTGTGTACAGTCCTGTGGTCGTTTTTGTGTTTATCTGTGGTCCTTGTCTCTTTCTCTTTTCAGACATTAAGAAGGAGAAAACAAAGAAAAAGTCTCCCATGTCCAAACTGTTCAGCTGGGGAGGCAAGAAGGAGGGATGACGCTCTGCAGGAAGCTCCGCTGTCTCTCTGATGCTGTTGCTGCCAGTGTGCCCGGCCTGTGATTTGGTGTGCGACACGCAGACCGTGCCAGAGTTTGTGTACGCAGTCGCAGTCACCACTTTCCACAAGCAAAACCACATCGACTACATCAATCAAGATTTGACTTCTGCTCACCAGCGTAGCACACACACAAGCGCATAATTACAGATATTAGAGGGGTTAATGACTCCATATGTGATGGAGCTCAGTAGTATGGTTGTGTAATTGTAATCTCCTTCCATTCTTAATCTAGAAAACAATCATTTTCCCAACAAACGCACATGCGCAGACACTTGCTCCTTCCTGTATACTTTATACGATGTGCATCTCATTGAAAAATTGTTTGCATACTGGCACAGTGACACTAATAGGACCTGAAACAGAGGTCAGAAGGTCCATGCTGCTAATGTTTTTGTGCGGGCTACGAGCCATTTACAACTGAATCATGAAAGTAACTGAAGGCTCACTCTCTTGCCTTGTTCAATATTTTATTTAATTTTTTCAGGATAACCACAGCCTTTTTCCATTCAAGGGTGCACGCTATTTTAATTGTTCCCGAACAAAGGACGAAAATACACTTCTGCCACACAACAAAGTGCTTTGTTTTTCAGTTTTTTTTCTCCAGAATTTGAGAGTGTTTTTAATTTAGTGGCAAGTACAAGCCAAAAACAGAATAATCAACCAGTGGCCTTTCCACAGATGTCTGTGGATAAATTATAAAGTCTGTGATCGGGACTGGCTGTAGCTCGGCTTGTACAAGTTACTTCCTTGATAGTGGTCCCTACGAAATGATGAACTTTTTATCTGAAATGAATGGTTCAAATGATCTGCTCTCTTGCCTGTGAATGTGTATTTGAGAGAATTTAGAGAGCAATTTTGGTTTTAATGGCTGGTAAAAGCAAATGGATGTGAGAGGAAGATGTCAGATGTAGTCCACATTGGACCTGGATTTATGTATGTCTGTGATGTTTCTCAGCTGATTTCACTGTATAGTGTCATCAATCACACGCTCAAAAGGCACTGAGACCACTTTAGCTTTTTTGTGTGTCATTGTCTCACTTTCCACGTTTAACTGTGCTATTTGGCTTTGTATGTAAGTAGACTGTATATATATTTGAACCTTTCTTCCTTTTGTTCACACAGAACGGTCTTATTATAGACCAGGTAAAATGGCCTAGATTTGAAATAAATGACTGTGGTAAATTTACTCAGACTTTATTAATAAAAAGTTTTAAACAATGAATCACACTGTTCTCTGTTATATATATGTATTTGTAAAATGGCTTATTTATTTATACATACATACATATATAGATATACACACAAATAAATAAAATTGTGTCATTTAGGGGGAGAAAATTAATTGTATGCTAATGCAGCTCAGCTGGCAGTTATGATTTATGGACTGTGGGGCTATGTGTCTCTTGCGTCCATTAGATTAAGAATGTATTACTTCCTAATTATTCAAATTTGTCTAACTAGTTATAATTCAGAAGGAAATTTGTCAGCCATTTCCAGGCTGCAGTGAAGAGACGGTCTCTGTGAAACCACTAGGAGGCAGCATGTGACTTTTCATGCCCACTGGGCTTCCTGCTCTGAAAGGTACATGACCTGTTACTCATGTGGATATTTTCTTTTTGTGCTGTTTTTAAAGAATGTCATCATCTGACAGACTGAACATACCTGTAGCACAAACAGAATTATTTCCCCTGGAAAGTAAAGCTTAGGTCCATGTCCTGGGCTTCCACTTGATTATCATATATTTTTTTAAAACCAATTTATTCATTATGAATAGAGAGATTTATTTTTTGTTCAGGTACATTTTTAAAATATAGGCAAAAAGAGAGCATTAACATAATCTGATAATCTTGAAAACCTTTTGAAACAATAGCCTGACAACTATTTTAACCTCACATTACAGGTTGACTTCCACATATATCCCTTGATCAACACTTTAAAATGATCAATACTCAGAAATAGATCTTATTAGCAGGCTAAAGGGTTATTTCAGCTATCACGAGAGTAAAACAATGAAGTGGTGTCCTGTAGCTGTCACGTAGAGGCCATGTTGGTGGATTACACCTTGTATTAAGGATGTAGTTAGTTCTGGGAACCACTCTTTTTGAGAAACACCACTATAGGGCTGCTGTGCTTTCAGGTTTCTGAAAGCAGAATCTCACATTTAAAGTTTTTACAACATGTTCCTCTTTTGTCAGAATTCTTTCTTGTTTATTCTTTTTTTTTCCCCACCACCACCCATGAACACCCAGTTCAGGTTGTTTTACATTATCTCTAAAAGCTACAGGTGACGGTGTGCACAGGCAGAAAAAAAATCATTGAACGGGGAAAACCGGCGGCGTGAAGAGACGCTGCATAAATGCAAACAGAGCTTTCACACACGTGAACAATTTCTCCGCTCCAGTTTATGCATCGTTTTACAGCAAGGAAAAATAAAACAATGAAAGAAAAGAGCAGGAAAATGGACTTTCAGCTTCTTGTTGTTTTTCTTTATATCTTTTAGTGTGAAAATACAAAATGGTGTAATCTTTCTCCCTCTAAAGGCAACATCTGTTCCTGTTGTTATGTGTGAAAATGTTTGTTGATTCCTCCCTCAAACCGTGATAAAATGTTCCATCACTGCACTGCTGTGTCTGAATCAATCACGTCTCTGCTTAACTTAGGAACATGTTTATCTTTGGAGGTAAAAAAAAAAAAAGCCTTGAAGTCGACTCAATAAGGCGCAGTTATAATGTGGGGGACCAAGGTTTAAATATACCTTTGAGGTGGTTCATTTACATAACACAGTGGCCCCTCACACATCATTCCCATAGACGGTTAAACAGTTTTTTAAGCTTCAGCGAGACTCGACTCTGTTCTGACATAATGTGATTGAACCATTCACTGAACATATCTGTTTGATCCTTGCTGAAGTTGTAGAAACTTGCCATAAGCATGCTCCCAACTTGTTTCTCATGCCTCTCTGTTCTTTTCCGCACTTTTTAAAAAGAAACTGTGTTCACAATTCGCCACACTGTGTACACATTTCTCTGAAGCAGTCAGAAGTGTTTATGCTACACACACACATACTTGATGGTCCTTTAAACTCAATTTCTCTTCTGCTTTTTATTCATGACTTTTTTTTTTCCCGTTAATCTTTTTCCCCAACGGGTTGTTGCGAAAAGGCAGGAAGTAAAGTATCAAAACAACATTCATAATGATCTTGGTTTATGCAACATCCTTGGAAATTTGATTGTTATAATTTTTTTTTCTTGTTTGCAGGAAACCAGTTTTTCCCCCTCTTTTCTTACTTTCACATCCATTTATCCATGCATCTTTCATGGCCTGATTTGCCTTTCATGACCTGATTTATAGAACTTTTAATACACAAAAACCTGATGAGCACAATCTTTTTCTCTGTGGCTTTTTAATGTATTTTCTGGTTCATGAAGTCTTTGGAACATTATTAATAGCTCATATAATTTAACAAACATTATTACAAACATTTACGCAAAATATAGCTGAAATTTTTTTACTTTAAAAAGTTGGACTTTTTCTCTCTAGTGCCTTATTTACCAATTCTGGACACAGAATCGATGTAAGTAAACATAGAATTTGGGAAAACCTAATACAGTTTAAGTAATAAACCGGAGAAATCTCATGCTCATATAAGACCAGGTTTGATTTCTCCACGTTCATCTAAAATGTGTCTCCTGAATTGTTCAGGCTGTAGGATGTAGTGACAGTGGAAAAAGATAAAATGGGAACAACCCTTCCTCTTACCAGTTTTTGCTTTCTGAAATAGATCTGCGTTAGAGCCGGGACATTTTTTTCTTTCTGGGCTTCCGCAATAACATTCAGAAGCCCATCCACCCATTTCATATATCCACTTGTTGAAGTTCAGGGTCATGTGGGAGCGGGAGCCTGTCCAGCCGGACACTGGGCCTACAGGCAGCGTACAGCCTGGACAGGCCCTGCAGGAACCTTAGACTGGAAAATGTGGTCGATAAAAGACACCTAAACGAGTTAGAAGTGTAAATTGTTTGTTACATGGAGCCCAAAGTAGTCATTTTTGTTTTCATGCAATTCTAATGAACATGAATGAAAACTATTATTATCATTTTTTTGCTGTTATGCTAGTAGATCATTCCAAATGTTACATACAAATCCAGAATAAAGCAACATCATCAAATGTTTGCTGCTTTATTGGTGTTTTGCTTACTCTTTTTTTTTTAGATCTATCAAATACCACTCCTTATGGTAAAATGTTATTGCAGTCAAATAGTTTATTGGACAATTTTTTCTTTTGCTTGTTTAATTATTAGGCCATGGGGCTGTTGCTTATGCTGTTTTTAAATGATCTCCCAGCGTGACCCTTTTGTAGTAATACAAGGAGCAGAACTTCGAAGATAAACTTGATGGAATTAAGAATCATTTAAACCAACGAGAGGTCATAAAGTGGAGCACATGAACAAGTGTAAAGTGCTGAAATGCTGCTGTGTCTGCTGACACATTCAAGGACACAAATCCATCCGATAACAATTCTGCATGCTTGTTATGTATGAGATCCACAGCAAAGTGATGTTTGGTGTTTTTCTACCAGTAGGTGGAAGGACACGGTTGCTACCGAACTGCTGCCTTTTCATTTGTTTTTGTTATTTCTCTGTCTAAGCGTGTCTTTGTGACGGCTGTGCTGGAAAAGCGATCACAGCTCGGGGAGCCCCTTAAGAACCTCTGGATGTCGCCCGTGGAAACCCTTTGCATGTGGTCTCCAGCACACAGTAAAACCGTAGCAGCATCTCTGTGGCGATGACATGCTGGAAAACCATTGCAGGACTTGCACAGGTCTCCCTCTTTGTGTTTCATCAAGTGTCTGTGACATGGCAGCATGGAAATGATCGGTATCTGTGTGTGTGCTTGTGTGTGTGTGTGTGTGCTCTCAAACTCTTCCATGGATGGATACT